TATTTACTATTACTGTATTAGTTGGATTTGTGTCTTAGACGTTAGAATCACTTTTATGCCTTAATGGCATTTGGAATGCAAATCTATCGCTAATAACTACTAATTATTTATTATTTGATACTTTGTCACTTCGTAGGATGGGATCTCAGACCAAATAAAAAGTGAGTTCTTATAATGCTGATTTAATTCTAATGCATTATGCTTTTTATGTGACAGAATTTTTATTTATCATGTAAAATGTCATAGTTATTATAGTTACATTGATGGTGCTGTACTCGTTTACGATATTTCTCAACCTGACAGCAAAACGAAAATAAACGAACTACTATTAGATGAAGATAATAGCTATATTAATAATAAAATTCCTATTATGATTATTGCCAACAAATGTGATAAGTATGAAAATAAAAATAGAGAAGATCTCTTAAAAGAAAAACAGTATTTTGGTAATTACGTCAATAGTTTGATATCAAGTTATAATTTTTAGTTAATATCTCCACTCGAACTAAATATTTTAGGAGAGAAGTTTTTATTTAATACAACTTCATTTGAAGAGAAGACTAGCACTAGTCTCGATAAAATCCTAGAAGGTATTTCAGATTATTAATTCAAGAAGGATTCATGAATAGCAAATTTAATTGTTAATATACATTTATTTATCAATTTAGATTGCATATCTAGGCTTCCTAATTTTAAAGGCAAATTTTGAAAGATTAAGTATTGGTTTTTTTTTTAGTATTAGAATTATCAATACATGTCATTATTTTTTTCATTATTTAGAAATCAATGATCTGAATGAATTGGCCCCTCCAAATAACCAATTTAAGTCCATAATGGAACATGCAACACAATTATATTTGTGTGAGATTCCAAAAGTTATTTATGGCAGGCAACAACAAGTAGAATTATCATTTGATGGAGTAAAGGGAATAAAATCGTTTTTATCATTAGTATGTATCTAAATGTAACCAAATTAATTTGCATTATTCATAGTTATATAAAACATTCGCATTAATTAAATGAATTATTAAATTTAGAAAGTAAGTATATACATCTGGTAAATCAAGATTTTATAACAAATGAAAAATGTATTAACTATCTACGTTCATAAATTGCTAGAGAGTGAGCATAAATTTTAAGATATACAGTATTAAATTAGAGTTGTATTATAACTAATATAAATATTCAACTATATATGAATTATGAATTATCAGATCGTGAGTATAAATTTTAAATAACATTCATAGTAAACTAACAGTTGCTCTAATTAAATAAATAAATTACTGAACGTAAGTATTATTCATATTATATATTTTTAAATAAGAATTAATGATAATTAATACTCTTATATATTATAGTTGGTGAATATGCATATAATATATCTTTAATTAAACTTTAATTTCTCCAATCGATTACATAAATCGCAGAAATTACAGTATGTGAGTATAAATTTCAAATGACATTTATTCATTAACGTTAAATTATAAATTAATCAACACTCCAATCGATTACATAAATTACATAAATTACAGGATGTGAGTATAAATTTCAATGACATTTATTCATTAACGTTAAATTATAAATTAATCAACACTCCAATCGATTACATA